CGTGTTGGATGGATATATGTTATGTAATATTTTCAAATGTAATTCTCTAACTTTGTTTGTAATACAAAATCTAAAAGGAACAAGCCACGCTTTATCCCAGTTGATATTATCAAAAATAGAGTTCCAAAAAAACTTCCCTCTTGGAGTTATTTTCTTCGCATTATACAAACATTCTCTAATATGTTTATTGGTGCATTTCTTGCTTAAGAAATCAATACCATTTATATAAAGAGTGTTAACGGATGCATGTGGCGTGTTCTGTTTTTTGTAGCTTTTCATCAACTCAGTCAGTCCGCTGGGAACGGACTTTATTACAGAGCTAAAATCTTTAAATTTGATAGGGAATGTTTTTTCTGTAATAAAGTCATTGTAACTAAGTAGCTGGCCTTCAGAGTCAAATAAGTCTTTTAAATAGATTATATTTTTATCAATCCAATTCTGCAATCCGGTTTCAGCAGTGCAATGAAGTCTGTACTTGCTGTGACGTTTTTGGAGAGATTGCTACTCTTGAATGTTTTTGGGGTGGGGGAGCTATCAGGTCTCTCGGTTTAATAAAAACATACAAAAAATAACTTTCGATAAAAAAACAGATATATTATCAAAGAAAATTACGGTATCAGCTTTCAAATTGAGATAGATGTGGTTTAGATGTGGTTTATGAAAAAAACCAACAATCGCTAGGTATGGCTGTAAAAGAAAAAAAAAATCAGTCTCAGTGTTTCATGTTGAACGATGTAAAATGCATCAGGACTGCAGAAGGAACTGTAATGGAGGATGCACAGGTGTGTCCCTGTATTAGGTTGGCTGTAGCTTGGATTGTAATGGCTACCATGCAGAGCTCTTTCTTCATTTTCTTTTTTGTTTCTTGCTGTTCTGAGGAGATCAGCATGACATGGTGTCTGACCTTACACAATGCTGTTAGGGACTACTGTTAGTGTATCAGCAGTCATTGCAATTCTCTCACGGTGAGGGAGAAACTGCAACCTTCTTGCCCGAGTCTCTGAGTTTGGCAATTTAATCAGACTCCCCTTAATCTGAATTTGGGATTAGGTTAGGAAGACTAATTGGGGCAGTCAGCTTCTACTCACTAATTCAACCAAAACAGAGAAAAGTAGAATATCTTAAAAAATAAATCAAGACAAAATAAAATCAGGATTTACAATATTACCAAAGCATCCTCGTGATACTGTTTACATGACACAAATAGACTTGAAATTTCAAAATGAAATGTAGTAGGCAAAGTGTCTGTGTTTTTTTCTTTAAAGTATAAACATAATATATAATATTATTATGTTATAATATATAATAATCACAACCCTGAAATAGCCAAAAAAGTGTGATACCTTAAGGAACTGGGAAAAATTCAAAGTACTCTACAAAACATTCATTAAACTAAAAAGATTACCAGAGGAAGCTAAAGTACTGACCATTAAAAACATGGTGGCTCTCGAAAAATATCAATGAGCAAAATGATCTGGACTATAAACAACGTAACAAACAACCACACACTCATGATGCACACTCAAAGGATAAACTCAGCTACATCTGGAATTGTCACGGCTGGGGAGCAGTCGTGTGGTGTATTGAAAAAGAGGATCCAAAATGCAGGTACTGGCTGGGGTGCGAGTGAGTGTTTATTTACAGAGGTGATAAAGTGACAAAAACAGGAAGAGCAGAGCAGGGAGTAAACAAACCTAAACTGGGAAAACTAAAGAACTAAACTAAACCAAACACTCACGGGAGGAGGAGCAAACTGCACAAAGAAAGATGGCAGAGAGACACAGAATGAATACCGGGTAACACAAAGTAATGCAGACTGACATGGAGTTAAACAGACGTCGCAACAGAAAGCACAGGAAAACACAGGGCTAAAATACACAGGGAGTAATCAGGGAATGGGC